CCGTCAGCACAGAGGCCTGACGTTTTCTTGGTTTGCTGTTTGGTTCAGTTTTTGTTGAAAAGATCTTGGTAAAATGTTTAGGGGTTCAAGTTGGCCCTAAACAACATTACTAAATAAAATAAGTAATACAAACAAATAATAGATTCAAAAGATCTTGTCCTCGCAGCTTAATTAGTGAATATGGAGCTTAAAATCAGGCCAGCAACACGTCTGCACACTGATGCGTCTCTCCATCCTCACCTGCCTGCATTCCTTCATCTGATGAATCACCTGGGAGGCTCCACCAATCAGCATTCAACTGTCAGTATTGATGGAAAATCCCCTGAAGAAGAACCAGCAGGTTCTCCTCTGGTCCTGATCAGGTTCATCAATACCTGCAGTTCATTAAGGAGAAGCTGCTGCTGGTCTTCAGCTGCTGATGCTTGTTGTTGTTTCCACACAAAGTCCTGCTGGCTGACAGGCTGCAACCAGAACCCAGCTGATTCTGTTCTCTGTGTTTCTGCAGGAAATGTAGTTCTGGAGAACCTGAGGGTGAAGGAAAACGCTCTGGTAAGTCTTCTGGAGGCAGCTTTTATTTTGAAAAGCAGCATCTTTGTGTTGCTGATGCTTGCCTTAAGCAAACTGATGATGGGCCATCATCATCCCTGCAGCTGGCAGCAGATCACATGACCTGGTGGCGGCTCAGAGCAGGAGCTCTCATGGGGCGCCCCTTCAGGCCCAGACTATGACTGACTTTGTTTATGTTTCAGAGCGAGTTTGATGTTCCCTTCAAAGTAAAAGCTGGACAGATTGGTGAGTATTGAACCTAATTTGTGTTTCTCTGTTTTAATACTTTGATTGAAGGGCAAAGTTAACTTCCTGTTTCCTTCCCCATGCTGGACTGTTGGCTAAAGAGAAATTGATGCATTTAGGGACTCCTTAAATGGTTAAACAGCTGGATTCTTTAAATTCATTATTTCTGTTAGATAAATTCTGCAACTTTTGTTCAGCTTAGAAACTTCTCCACCTTCCTGGTCCTTCATTCTGTTCATGCAGTGAAACATGATCCGAAACTCTGAGTTTCTACCACATCGCCAGCTAACACCTTCAGGCATTTTCAGGTGTAACAGGGTTACAACATAACATAGAAGGGCTCCTCCAGGCTCCTCCAGGCTCCCCCAGGCTCCCCCAGGCTCCTCCAGGCTCCCCCAGGTTCCCCCAGGCTCCCCCAGGCTCCCCCAGGCTCCCCCAGGCTCCCCCAGGCTCCCCCAGGTTCACCCAGGCTCCTCCAGGCTCCTCCAGGTTCCCCCAGGCTCCTCCAGGCTCCCCCAGGCTCCTCCAGGCTCCTCCAGGCTCTGTCAGCCCAGAGTTACTGAAATGTTTCTTGCCATGTCGAAGCTGCGCTGCTTGGTTCTCCACCAGGTTCTGCTGAGATCTCAGTAATCCTCCATCTTGTCGGTTTCAGGTAAGCTGACGCTGAAGATCCCCTGGAAGAATCTGTACGGCGACGCGGTGGTGGCCACGCTGGACGGGCTCTACCTGCTGGTCGTTCCTGGAGCCAGTAAGTGTCATCAGAACAGAAACCGTCCGCCGGATGCTTCTGATCAGAGTCTGGTTCAGACGGCTGACAGCATGCTGAACATGATGGTGTGTGTGTGTGTGTGTGTGTGTGTGTGTGTTGTGTTCTAGCTCAGTCTCAGCTGAAAGCGTCTCCTTATAACGATAAGCTGCCGACGGGAGGTGGCGGTCGATCTCTATAAGGAAACACACCTGGCTTTGAAATTAGGGCTGAGATACTTTTATTTTGAAGCGTCAGATCCTGTTCATCAGGTTGTGTTTTGGGTTTCCTGTTCTGTGGACTTTCAGGCTGCAAGTCTTGGTTTCTGTGTCGGTCATAAAACTGAAGAAATCTGTTTTGGATTCTGCGCAGACAGCAGATGATTTTCGAAGATCAACTTGTTGAATTTAAATGAACCACAGAAAAGCCAGCGCTCGTCAGACGGGCCGGTACATGATCATTTAGCAAAGGACTGTAGGGAGTGCAATGAAAATATATTTTAAGTGTTCTGAAGTCATATTTGCTGTGCTGATCCAGCATTTATCCAGTAGGAGAATCCGCTGACATTCCCCTAAACGCCGAAAGTCACACTGAGGAAGAAACGGATTAGACAGAGATGGACAGAGGGACCAGCCAGATATCACACCTGATATTGTCATCACAACATTTCCCAACTTTATATAGATTTACCAACGTGGTGCAGCCCGAGTGCCAGGCGCGGAGCTATAGGGGGGCGGGGGGGGGGGCGGGCCCCCCAAACCGGGGAGGAATGGTTTCAAGTCATTGAAATATGTGATTATGTGAAAGTGCGCCCTCGCCTGTTGAGAAGAGTGTATTTAATGTTAAATACCCCCTCCCCCCCCACCCGCTCAACAGTTTCAGTTTCGCTCCACGTAAGGGGCCCGGTATTTGGCCCCGCCCCCCGGCCCGAGGCTGACTTGTTCCGCTAGTGCCGAGTACCGTCTCATTTTATTTCTAACCCAAACTGCTAACAACCGGTCTGGACTCGGAACTGGACCCTGGACTCCTTTCTGCTGCTGGCTGATCTGGGGGCAACTGGGTCTGGACTCTGGGTTGAACTGGTTTTCCTCAGAACCAGGAGTTCACCAGAGGTCCACCAGCTGGTTCACGTTACATATAAAGCACCAATTCACAACAAATATTGTCTCAAGTCATTTTACAAAGAAATCATTTAATCTCCATCACACATGCATTCCAACTGATCCCAGTTATCAACCTGGACTCCTTGCAACAGTTTGCTGCAGACAGGAGTGATCCGGTGAAACCAGTTAGCCTGAACGTCTGGTTTTGCTGCTGGTTAGACCTGCTTGTGTTTTTAGCTGCATGCTGCTAGTGATTCTTCTTCTGGGGTTAATCAGCGTAGTTTCTGCAGGTCCATCCAGCTGCTTTCCGTGCTTAACATCGTCTTTTGTCTTCCCCAGCGATAAAGTATGATGCAGCGAAGGAGGAGCGCTACCAGCAGGAGGCGAAGCAGAAGGAGCTGCAGCGAATCGAGGAGGCGCTGCAGAGCGCGGCACGAAGAGGTGAGGCCGACCCCAACCTGTTGCTGTCTTTGGCTTTTCCCCTTTCTCTTCAATATTGCTTTCAGCTGCTGCTCAAAATGCTGTGATTGGCTCAGCCAGGAAGGCTGTGATTGGCTCAGCCAGGAAGGCTGTGATTGGCTCCTGCAATAACAGAAGAGCCAAACAAGAACAGGTCATTGATATTAGGAGGTCCTGCATCAGCGACTGGACTGGCCTGGTCGCCCACAGGGGCGAGTCTGAGCACGACTGCATGAGTTTGCACTAGGGATGGGAACCTTTGACACTTGAATCGATTCAGTACCAATATCCGGTTCCTGGGAATCGGTGTCGGTACTCAACGGTACCAGTTTTTGGTACTTTTGTGCATGTTGCTTTTTAATAATAAACGCTATTTTTTTTAGCATATCTAATTCTTGGTAGAGCTGTTGACTTGCAGCAAGAAGGTCCTGGGTTCGATTCCCGGCCTGCGGTCTTTCTGCATGGAGTCTGCATGTTCTCCCTGTGCCTGGTGGGTTTTCTCCGGTTTCCTCCCACAGTCCAGAAACACGACCGTCAGGTTAATTGGTCTGTGTAAATTCTCCCTGGTGTGTGTGTGTGTGTGTGTGTGTGTGGTTGTTTGTCCCGTCTGTCTCTGTGTTGCCCTGCGATGGACTGTTGACCCGTTCTGGGTGACCCGTCCTGGGTGACCCCACCTCTCACCTGTTGACCGCAGGGGAGGCACCAGCACCACTCCTGGCCCTACTGGGACAAGGATGAAAGAAAATGGCTGAATCAAGACGTCTTTATATTGTAACATGACGGCTGTTTGACTAATTTCTTCAAAGTGAAAACTCTTCAGAGCGACTAACGGAGTGTTTTGTCATATTGCACAAATTAAAATTCAGCTTTATGTATTCCTATTTGTCATTTCCCTCACTTGCATCGTAAATGCTGCCATCACCAAATGTATTGAGCATTTGTTCATCCGTGTTGCTGGCTACATGCTAACGGAGGCTAATGCAGCAGTTGTAGGTCAGGCTGTAGAAAATCATGCACTCTTCAGCCTTAAGAAAAATCTTGTGTTTAACCAGGTTCTTTCTCAAACCAGACGTGTTTCCTCCGCTGGCCTTGTGCTTTGTGTTACAAATATTGCAACAAGCATAATTTGCATCGCATTTTGAAAAGTGGAGCCATACCTTTTAGTGTTTTGTACCAGCTATGCTGACTGAGTTTACTGAAGTAGCGGCTGCTGACGTCATCACGTCTTTGCGCTTCTGTGCTGCCTTCAAGGACAAGCATGGAAAATCCACCACTCTTCCTCGATACGGTCGCAATGATGCGCTTGGATACTGAAACATGGTACCGTTTGATTTTACGTGAATAGACACTCGGTAGTATCGACAGAATTCGGTCGTTACCAATAAAGTACCGAATTCGGTACCCACCCTTGCTGCATGAGCCTGCAGGTGTCCTCACTAACTCTCTCTCTGTCCTGTTCATGCTGCGTTTGCTGTCAGCGTCTCAGACCGGAGATCTGCTGTTCGGTCTGGAGAGCGTGGTTTACAAGGAGCAGCTCGATGGTAACACACCCTGAGACACTGAGACACTGAGACACTCGGAGACACTGAGACACCCAGAGACACTGAGACACCCAGAGACACTGAGACACCCAGAGACACTGAGACACCCAGAGACACTGAGACACTCGGAGACACTCTGAGACACTCGGAGACACTCTGAGACACTGAGACACTCGGAGACACTCGGAGACACTGAGACACCCGGAGACACTGAGACACTCTGAGACACTCTGAGACACTGAGACACCCGGAGACACCCGGAGACAAGGAGACACCGAGACACTCAGAGACACCGAGACACTCAGAGACACCGAGACACTAAGACACTAAGATACTCAGACACTGAGACACACAGGAGACAGCTGTCTCCAGGTTTGGACCAGAGACCAGTCAGTGGTTTGGGCTTTATTGGGTCCATGGCAGCATCACTGCTGGTTTCTGATGCCCAAAGTCAGATTGGTGTCTCTGCTCACTCAGTCCATCAGGTCCAAAGCTTCTGGTTCTTCTGCTTCCTGCTGTCTCTCTGTTTCCAGCTTTTCTCTCTCTAATGGCTGTTCTGTCTTTAACGCTGCCAAAGTCCCAAAAGGACGTAAAAACCCCAAAAAGCACAAAAAAGTTCTAAAGAAACTGAAGCGACATGAACACAAAGCAGGTGAGTTCATGTTTCTCCTTAAAGAGACGCAGATCTTTTGAGAAGAGACGTCGGTTCTGGTTTATTCCAGAGGGAGCCGACCCGGTTCCTGACTGTCTCTGCTTGTTTCAGATAAACCTCAGGAGGACAAGAAGGACACATTCATGGAGAAACTTGCCACACAGGTGATCAAGAACCTGCAGGTGAAGATCAGCAGCATCCACCTGCGCTACGAGGATGATGTGCGTTCTGACCCGGTCCTGTCCAATCCCAATTCTGGTTCTGTCTCCTGAAGCTCTGCTTGACTCTCAGCTTCATTGATGTTTTTCAGCTGTCAGATCCACAGCGCCCCCTATCGATGGGAGTAACACTATCAGAGCTCAGCCTGCAGGTGCGCGCGCACACACACACACACACACACACAGCCTGACGTCCGGCTGCCTCTGCTGACGGTTCATGTTCTTCTACCTCCAGACCACTGATGAGAACTGGAAGCTGTGCATTCTGAATGAAGCTGCAAAGATCATCTATAAGGTGAGATGCTCCACTCGGTCTCTCCTGAACTTCATAATTGTTGACGCAAACACAGCTGGAGGGAAAAAAAGAGACCGTTGATTTGCTATTGAAGCAACTGGAGAGCTGGGTCCGACTTGAAATGATTCCAGTTCTGGTTCCATTCGGACCAGAACTGGAACCAGTTCCAGAAGAGTTCAGAACTGTTCTGCATTGGTTCCAGTCTGACATAAAGAACAAGAGTTACTGCTGTAACTGCGGTTGATGAATCTCGGATGAGAGGCGGCGCTTCAAGCGTCTGATGTTCATGCGCATGAGCAGGTCTAGAGTTAATCATAACAAAGTCACCTGTGACCTGCCGATGACTCTATGTAGTCACATCACACCCTGTGCTCAATCCCTCAACCTTCTCACAAAAAGCAATAATTCTAAGGGATCAAGCACTCTGGGGTCATCCGGGAATCACAGAACCGCAGTAACTCTCGTTCTACATCATCCCTACTGACCACCGGAGGCGCTTGTTAAAGAACTGGATGACTCATGTAAACAAGATCATGAGAAATCTGCAACATCCATGGAACAACCACTACACCACCTACCTGATGACGGGGATGAGGCGTAGCCACATTCATCCTGTAAAACCAAGCAAAGGTACTAGGAGGCCTCATGGCGTCTAACGTTCAACGGCACCCCGATCATGGCAGCAAATGAGATCAACATGCCCCTCCTAGATAGGCACCGCACTCCTGCTGGCAGTGTTTGGTCCTGCAAGGCATAAGCCTTAGTGATCAAATCCACAAACCAGTCTGCTTAGAAACGGCCTGATATTTCAGTGAGCCTGCATAGCAAACAAAAAGGCTATTTGTCTTTCACAAAAATGCAGTGGAATTGATCTAAGCCTCAAGAGCACGAACAGGGCACAGAGGTTCGGAGGAGCCTTCAGTGTCAAACCAGGCAAGATGGAGTGGCTGGGTACTGCCTGTTTCCAGTGACACTTTAAGAATAAAAAAAGAATTGCTGCCTTCAGTGGGAGTCATTTGAGGTCTGGAGATGCCAAGGGTTCAAACAGGGGTCACCGAAGAGCCTCAAGCACCAGAGAGAGGTCACAGGGCAGTTGGGTGGAATTTTAAGAAAATATTGAAAAAGTGAGCAGTGAGTTAGTTATGCTAGCCTAACTGTTGCTAGCCCGCTGTTGACTTTGATAACCTGAGTGAAGTTGGCCCCCCCACCTTCTTCAAATCAGACAAAATTGGTGTCAATCAACTCGGCTATGTTTGTGCTGGTTTGTGCAGCAAAATTTTTCGTTTGTGCTGCTTTGGCTTTGAAGATATTAGTGAAGGTGGAAAGGTCAACCAGCCCCCCCTCTTCTATGAAATCAAACAAAATTGGTGTCAAACATTTGTGCTACATTTGTGCTGGTTGACCTCTATAAACTACTAATATCTTTAAAAAGATGGCAGTACAAATGAAGATTTTTGCTGCACAAACCAGCACAAACGTTTGACACCAATTTTGTCTGATTTGAAGAAGGTGGGGGGCAACTCCACTCGGGTCCATCAATACGTCAGTAACGCGTTACTCTAATCAGACCCTTGTTTCAGTAACAAGTAATCTAACATGTTACTATTTACAATCCAATGATCAGATTAAAGTCATGCATAGCATAATGACCGTCAACACTCACTTTAGCATTTGCCTCACAACTAGCAAGCTAAATACTCTGGTAGCACAGACAGGCTAACAGATTCTGATACATTTTATTGGTCAAAATGCATTGATATAAATTGACTGGTAATTGAACAGGTTCTACCTCAAAACCAAAGTAGAAAACAGCTCATAAAATAGGACTCGGCAGTTTTAAACTCAATACAGCAGTTTGACCAAGAAAAATAAAATCTAAAAAACAAGTTTTGTTCTTCTTGAACATCTCCCTACATCAGTGCAACAGTTTGATCTGATACTTTTCACATCTGACACCTTAGCTCCTCACTGTTTACTCAGTCTCACTTTCCAGCCCTGCATTCAGTAACTTACCAAAGATCCATAAAAACACTGAGGCAAAAAGACTAAATGTTTTTTTCTCCTGTTGTTTTCAGCCACAAGCATTTAACTAAAATATCTACAGATCTGTGTTTCTGTCTCTGCCTCTCTGCAGCCTGATGTTCCTGCATGGATTCATGGATTTACAACAGACACTTTAGTAATGTACAGTGTCAGAATGAGAACTAAATATAAAAAGTGTGTTTTTATCACAGAATGAGAATTTAAACAACTTAATTTTCAGATGTATACATTATTATACATCTCAACTCTATTTACTGTGTAGCAAAATGTTCACTAATTTATTTTTAAACCTCTCCTCAAGCACTTTTCTTATTGTCTCCTAACCCTTATAGTGTGGAAATAATGGAAAAAATATTGAAACGTTGAAAGAAATCAACCGGACATCAGTCTTCACCCGTTCTCCTTTCTGGTTTTATTGTCCATCCTTTTTCTTCCTCTTATCCGGGGTCGGGTCGCAGGGGCAGCAGCCTAAGAAGGGAGGCCCAGTCTTCCCTCTCCAGCCTCTTCCAGCTCCTCTAGGAACCCCAAACCATTCCCAGGCCAGCAGAGAGACATCGTCCCTCAGTGTGTCCTGGGTCTCCCCTCCTCCCGGTGGGACCTGAACTCCTCACCAGGGAGGCGTCCAGGAGGCATCCTGACCAGATGCCCGAGCCTCAACTGGCTCCTCTCGACGTGGAGGAGCAGCAGCTCTACTCTGAGTCCCTCCCGGATGACCGAGCTTCTCTCTCTAAGGGAGAGCCCAGCCACCCTGAGGAGGAAACCCATTTCGGCCGCTTGTATCCGGGACCTCGTTCTTTAGGTCATGACCCAAAGCTCATGACTATGGATGAGGGTGGGAACGTAGATCGACCGGTAAATCGAGAGCTTCGCTTTTTGACTCAGCTCTCTCTTTACCACGACGGACCGCCTGTCGATCTCCCGCTCCCTCCTTCCCTCATTAGTGAACAAGATCCCCAGATACTTAAACTCCTCGCTTTGTAACTCGTACTGCCATCTCATTAAACCGTCATCACATTGCGCCTGAGTGTTTCCTTGGATCAATCATGATTGATGATGGCATTTGTCAAAATGCAATATTTGTTGTTACGTCCAAAAGGGCACAACATATTTGAAGAAACGGGTGCAAGAGTGAAGGTTCAAATATTCTTTTATTTAAAACATTTTAAAATCTTGGAATTTTCTTTTGGTTCAGCTGCTTTGATTTTCTGTGAAGAAAGAAAAGATAATTAAATACCCTCAATCCCAGTGAACTAAAAAAGAAAAACACAAAACCCCAAAAGTTGGACCTGGTGAGCCGATCACAAAGAACAAAACGGTGCAGCAGGGGGCCGAGCCAATACAGGGTCGTCGAAGCCCCTACTGGTACTGGACTAAAGCAAAAAGAACCTACTGCAAAAGAAAGAAACAAAAATAGGACAAGCAAACAAGGGATAACAAAAGCTACCGTGTGGCAGGCTGCAGACGTCAGCTGTGGCCTACAGCCTCTGGTGTTGGTGGCGCAGCGGCAGAACGCATCCCCGGTGGCGGTGGAGCGAGCGGAAGGGCGGGTCTGCACGCACTTACACACTCGTCGTAATTCAGCCTAGTTATAGGTGGACCAACAGGCCTAGCTTAATGCAATCAAATTAATTTCCGAAATAAGAAATGATCCAAACTCCAAAATATATTAAAAATCAGAAAAAAATCATTTGACTACAGTCTAGAAACAAAACAATCAGGAAAAATAATTATAATGTGCCCAAAGGACATAACAATTGTTGTTTCATAATTGGTTATTATGGTTTTTTGGTGTAAAGCCCTTTGAGCTGCCTTGTTGCTGAACCACTGTGTACTAATACCTACCTGTTGCCCGGTGTCTCTGTCCCCAGCTGGGCCGTCTGGAGAGTCTCTGCACCTACTGGAACGTCAACAGTCCCATGTACTACCGGAGCTCTTGGCAGGACATTGTGGTCAGTCCACTCCTCCAAATCTGTGCTGATCTGATGAAGCTCATTTCTGTTTATGATTGGACTCGGAGCCTCCCTGCCCCCCGGTTGATCCTGCTCTCCTTTGCAGGACCAGTTGAGGTCAGAGATCAGCAGCAAAGACCAGCAGCTGCCTCACTATCAGGACAGTGAGTTCAGATCTTTGATTAATAAATGTTGTCTCTTTGTGATGTCAGCTGGTGGCCTTATGACCTTTGAACCCTAAATTAAGGGTTTGTGATGGTAGCAGGATTTTTTAAGTGTCTCCCTGGTTGAATCTATTGACCTGCAGCTTTAGCTGCTCTGCAGTCCAGATTGTCCAGGAAATGACGAAGATCTGAGTTTCACAGAGTTTCCATCTGAGTGGAAATCTTTCACAAGTGTGTGTGTGTGTGTGTGTGTGTGTGTGTGTGTGTGTGTGATACCTTGTGGGGACCATTTTCCTGACATACTAAGCTGTTGGGTCAGATTTAGGACTAAGGTGTGAATTGAGTTTTGGTTAGTAGGGTTAGGTTGTAGAAATGAATGGAAGTGTTGAGGAAATAAATTAGTCTTACCTAAGGTGAAACACTGAGTCAATCATGAACGAATCAAAATGCATTTTGATTATAATTTTATTAAGAAACTAAGCAAAGAATAGAGCAATGACTCCCTCCAGGGAAGTGAAGAAAAGGAAAAAGCTTTTAATATCCACCGGCCCCCTTACAAAGATGGGAGCAAAAGGGAGAATCCCACCAGTTTCAGTTTGCTTCACAACTCTGGTTTTTGCACCTGCAGACTGTGACCCTGGATGGTTCAAACCATTTATTATGTGTTTCCAGTGAGCTGCCTCCAACATGAAGGGTGCTTTATAGCTAAAATTGATTGTTTGATTGAAATAAAACAAAGTTTGATATAACAGAAGTCAATGGGAAGTCCCCACAAAGATAGCCATGCAAACACGTGTGTATAAGTCTTCTTTCTTTCAGCTGATTTTAATTCAGTTTTAGAATTTACTACGTATTCAGAAAACAGACTAAAATAAGATCAAATAAGGATCGTAGTCTTTATAACGATGAATGAAAGTGTGACCATCATTTCATGTGGGGTTGATGAAAAGCTGAACATGTCTTGTTATATGAGATGTTGTGGATCTTTTGGGGATCTGTCAAGTCCCTGACGGTCAGAGCTGCTGGTCACTCTTCCTCTCTGTCTAGTCTTCAAGCCAATCTTCGCTTCGGCTAAAATATGCATCAACCCGAATGCGGAGGCAGAGCTGAAGTCTCCGAAGGTGAAGCTGCAGCTGGAGGTCCAGAACATTGGTATCGAGATGACCAAACCTCAGGTGAGGCAAGACACATCCTGCTGGATAAATCGGGTGGAAACAGGTGAGACTACCTTTACCTGTCTGTCCTCCACAGTACCTGAGCATGGTGGAGGTACTAGAGTCCTTTGATCTAATGGCAAAGAGCGCCCCTTACAGGAAGTTCAGGCCTGATGTTCCTGTCAGTAAGAACGTCAAAGTCTGGTCGGTTTGCTGTCCTGCTCCATTAGCTCAGACCCAGATAAAACCAGGACCAGACCAGTTACATTATGGTCTCCTGCTACCTTCAGGTGGAGGTATGCTTTCAACAGCATCATGGAGGTCCACATCCGACGTCTTAGCCACATGTGGTCCTGGTCCAAGATTCAGCAGCACCGGGAGAGCCTGAAGGTCTACAAGGCTGCCTACAAGAGCAAACTGCTGAGTCAGAACAAGCCAGGGCCAGACACCGAGAAGCAGATCCAGGTGAGGAAACAGTAAGCCACGCTTAGCGATGTGACTCATATTGCTAAGCAACCAAACATCCCATAACACCTGGATATGGGATGGATGATTCTGGTCTAAGAATCCACTGCCGCCCTCTGATATCGGGTTAAATGTCTGTGAGGAAACTTCCTCTCCATCCATCCCATCTGAACTGGTGGAGTTGAGATCAGCTGATTGGGTTTCCTGAAGCAGAAATGGAAACTTGAGTTCGGACCTTCAGGAAGCCCATCCCAGCGTCTCATACTCGGTTTCTTTCTCTTCTCAAACATGAAATGATCTCTTTCCATTTCAGTCTTTTATTGGATAAATCAAGATGTTGGTCAACACGTCCTGAAATGTTCTGTATAAATGTTTTTGGTAAGCCTTTATTTGAAGGGGTGTGGATAAGACTGACATGACGCTGTCATAAACATGAAGAAGTCTTTATGAATGTTTATGACTGTTGTCATGATGTCATTCAGTAAATAATGTCTAAAAGTACATTAAAAATGCCAACTTTGCATGATTTTGTAAATAATGACAATTTAATGCAACGTTTCAATTCACTCCAGCATCCATTCCAATGGATCCTAGTTATGAAACAGATTATTTTTTCAAAGTAATTTAAAAAGGTTCTAAGAAAGTTATTGACTTGGGGCATTCACCTCTCCTGGCCCAGCAGGGGGCGACAGTCTCCTGCGTTGATTCATTGACTTTACAGCAATTCTTCTCCTCAATATTCAGAAGAAATGCAGCCATTAAAAATGAAATGGTTCCAAATGACTGTGTCTGAAATTAAATGATTAATAATTAGATCTGCTGAATCTTACAATGGATAAAAGGAAGCTGAACTAATAAGTAATAAATAAAATAAATAAAAAACACTAACTGAAGCTGGTCTCTGCTGTGCTTCAGGATCTGGAGAAAACCCTGGACGTGTTCAACATCACTCTGGCCCGTCAGCAAGCCCAGATGGAGGTGATCTTGTACAAATGAATGTGATGATGTGTGTTCTCACAGGCCCGGCTTGATTTCAGGGTTCTGCTCCTGCAGGTGATCCGGTCGGGCCAGAAACTGGCTGGGAAGAAAGCCGGAGGCCAGAAACAAGGAGGAGGCTTTTTCAGCGGCTGGTTTGGGAGGAAGGCTAAGAAGGAGGAGCAGGAGGTGGAGGAGGACAAGGAGTCTGAGAGTAAGAGTTGATCTGGACCTTCTGGAGAGACACAAGATTTGGTTCTGAACCGGCAAGTTCTGTTTCAGCTTCAGGTCTGGACCAGCTGATGACGGCTGAGGAGAAGGAAAAACTCTACACAGCTATTGGCTACAGCGGCAGCTCGCACAACCTGGCTTTACCCAAACAGGTAGAGACTCTGACAAGTAGAGACTCTCTAGAGAGTCTGTTTGAAAAATGTTGACTTTCATGACAGGACAGGCAGAGGAACCCTGTATCAGCGCTGAAAGAGAAAGCGTCTTCTTCAATGGTAGATTGAAAATGGTTGTCGGATTGAGGTTAACAAAGCTGCTTCTTGATGGAGGATGAGACTTCTGGGACAATGTCCTCTGGACAGATGAGAACAAACTAGAAATCTTGGACCGTGATGGAGGAATCCAGACATCAGGTCAACAGAGACTCCTCATGCTCTGATGCATGGTGGTTTCAGGAGAGATGGCTGTCTCTGAGCAGACCGGGACCTCTACTGTGGATCAAGGTTTTCTAGAGTCTGGTGTGAGTCCATCTGTCCAGCAGCTGAAGCTCGGTCCAAACTGCATCCTGAACAGAACCAGGATCCAAACACAGCAGCAGATCTAGAACAGAATGGTTGAAAGAGAATTGGTGTTACATAAGCCTAGTTAAAGCCCAGACCTCATCCTCAGGGATCAGAACCTTAATGAAGTGAAACGTTGTCCTAAGGTGACCCAGTAACCCGGCCTTCTGTGTTTCAGTACGTCGGTGCCATCATCACCTTCCAGCTGCTCAGAACGTCAGTGACCATCAGAGAGCAGCGCGACGTCCCAGAGATCCTCAACATCCAGATGGTCAACCTGAGCACCAGGATATCCCAGAGACCCGGAGCGCAGGCGGTCAGGTGGGAGCGTTTCCTCTGGAACCCTCTGGCCCGCCTCAGCCAGACTCACACCAGCTGCTTCCTCTTGCAGGGTGGAGGCGGCGCTGGAGCACTGGTACGTCACAGGGCTGCAGCAGCGGGGCGCCGTCCCCTCGCTCATCGCCTCCGTGGGCAATTCTTCATCATCGCTGCTCACCGTGGTGTTTGAGTTGAACCCTGAGGAGAGTTCTGGAGACCAGCTGCTGAAGATCCACTCCCAGCCAGTGGAGATAATCTACGATGCAGTAAGCTGGCCTCTGACTTTTACCAGTCACTCAACCAAATTTTATTTGTATAGCACATTTCAGCAGCAAGGCATTTCAAAGAGCTCTACATCATAACAAAACAAAAGCACAAAGTCACACAGCATAGAATCAACAATCAAATCATCACATTAAGTCGATGCCGTCATTACATTTGTAATTGATCACATTTCAAATCGGCTCTAACCAGGAGGGTTTTAGTTAAGATTTATAGGAGCTCAGTGTTTCAGCTGTTTTACAGTTTTCTGGAAGTTTGTTCCAGATTTGTGGTGCATAGAAGCTGAATGCTGCTTCTCCTCGTTTGGTTCTGGTTCTGGGGATGCAGAGCAGAACCAGACCCAGAACCTGAGGGTCTGGCAGGTTGATACAACAACAACAGATCTGGTTGTGGTGCTAAACCGTCCAGTGATTTATAAACTAACAGGATTTTACAGTCTGTTCTCTGAGCTACAGCTGTAGGACTGTAGATCTGGTGTTATGTCTCCATCTTCCTGGTTCTAGTCAGAACAGCAGCAGCAGCTTCTGGATCAGCTGCAGCTGGAGGATTGATTTGTTGGTCAGACCTGTGAAGATGCTGCTGCAGGAATCAATGCGACTGAAGATAAACGCCTGGATGAGTTTCTCTGATCTGAGACATCAGTCCTCTGATCCTGGAGATTCTTCAGGTGATAGAAGGCCGACTTTGTGACTGTCTTAATGTGGCTCTGAAGGTTCAGGTCAGAGGTCATCACTACTCCCAGGTTTTGGGTTGATTGCTGGTTTTAGTTGTAATAACTGAAGCTGTGCATTGACTAGATCTGTA